ATGAATCTGCTGAAGGGGAGGGTGATTTCATTTTAGCAAGAGAACCTAGAGATAAAGTGTACTTTGCATAAAAGTACACTTCTACTTTAATGCAACTAGTATAAGTACTTGAATCGGACTTAATGTGAGCCTTCTATAATCCCCTGAACAGTAGAACTAGCTGCTGGGAGAGGGAGGGCCATGTAAATTTTAGGACTGAACGGACAGAAATACAAACCATTTTCGCAGTCAGTAAATATGCATTTTACCTGTGCCTTACCTTAGGTTTACACTAGTGCTGCTGCATATTTATGCATTTTTTAGTGCATTTTTGTAGCGTGCTTATGCACATTTTGTTATGCGTTTTATGCCTTTCATGCATTTTAATGCTTCATGCATTTTTCTTTTGCCAATGACAAGCAATATCTATTGTGACATCATTAGACGTTGTCTTCCTTTGAGGAGACTTTAAGCACAAAAACGCACCAAAACACATCGCATGTATGTGTTTTTAATGCACTCCCATTGAAGTCTAAGGTGCCAAAAACACGCTGTGTAGCACCAAAAGAAACACCGGCACCTTTTCAAAAATCGCACTGCATGACTTTGCTTTGATGTGAACAGGTACTATTAGGCCCGGTTCACACCTGAGCGCAACAGGTGAAAACCCATGTTTGCCTATGGACATGGTTCTCACCTGCGCGTTTTACCGCGCGGTAAAACGCCATATGCCCAAAGAAGTACAGGAGCTTCTTTGGGGCGTATTAACGCGCGTATCTGGCTGTATCCATAAGGATACAGCCGTATACCCCCTCGGAAACTCGCGTTTGCCGCAAATCGTACCGCGCGGCAAACGCGAGTTTTCAATACGCTAAGGTGTGAACCCATTAGGAATAATGTAATTTCCATTGTCAGGCAGCGCAGTACAATGGCAGACTCAGGACAAATCGCACTAGTGTGAAAGGGGCCTTAGATAATGCCGTGCATGATTCCGCATCGCATATTGCAATATATGTGTCATGCTGTGCCATTATTTTTAATGGAACCCCCAACACACCTAGCTGCATGGTAGCCTAGTGCCATGTGATTTGGTGCGATGCAATTTAAATAAAAGGAGCACATGCTTCTTTCAGTGTGATTTAGCTGCGGTAGGCAGCCTATTCAAATTAACATGCTGCCTGCCACAGTGTACCTCAACGCACCCTGCAGCGCCTCTGCCATGACGCACCACAGAGGTGTGAGCGAGGGCTAAAGTTATATGTCTGAAGTTCATTGTTAAAAAGTTCAAGTGTATCCAAAATTATTTTACACTTGTGTATATATAAGAATATAGGACTTAAAGTGAGTGTCCAGCCTTGAAATGAAATAATGGATCATGTTTTATGCAGTGATTCCCTTTAACCAAGTCATTCCCTAATTAGACCTAAACAGCTCTATTACAAATTACACTAATTAGTCACAACACCGCCAGGCAGTTTTCCCAGTAAGCCCAGTGATGTCTGTAGAGACTTAAGAAAAATGACTAAGCATATGAAAATAGCCCTTCTAATGAAAACAGATTGCTGTATTTCTAGACACATGCAGTTTTAAAAGCTTAATAAATATACAGTGAGCACATTAACTTATGTCATGCAACAGCAAAGCTTTACTTTCATTTAAAAATATCTAAATGAAATCGGTGTTATAATCCGAAAATATCCATGCATGTGCAAATGTCTTGGGAAAATGATTCCTTCTTTTCCAGTGTCGGTGTAAATCTGATTGGCAAAGCAGACTAAGATACTGTACATAAGCACACTTTTGCTTAAAGCGGAACTCAAGGTTTAAGAAAAAAAATATAAAATGATTGTCCTTTAATGTTTAACAATAAATTCAGCTTTTGTTGCATTATTCCCCTACTCTCTGGTGCTGCTCCTCTGCAGGCTGCTGGTTCTCTTCCTTGTTGAATGACGTCCAGTGTCATTCAACCCACTTGCTGTGAGCCGATGCTGTGGGGGTATATCACCCCATCAGCCTGGGCTAACAGTACTGTAGTAGAATACTGCAATGAGCCCCGCTGACATAACATCAGCGACTCTCTCTGCAGTATTGAAGATCGCCCATTGCTAACACTGGAGCTGAGAAGGAGGATCTAGGGATGTCATGTGACCGGCTCGCTTTAAGGAAAGTATAAGGGAATTTTTTTTTTAATGAACGTGGTATGGGGTGGGGAGAGTTTTAAAGAGTTGTATGTGCTATAAAGTATATCTAAATCCAATCTATCAAGCACACAAAGATTAGCTCTAACTCCATGCCACCTCTGCTTGTGTGGTATCAGTCTGAACAGCAAGGCTCTTGCTCGCTCTTCATGCAATTCAAGTAGATACAGACGCTGGAGTCTGTCTGTGATCCTTAATCATGCTTGCATTACTGATATATGATTATTGATAGGCAGGAGATCCAGTGTATCCTGAAAGCCAAAAAGATGCTAAATGCAACAACAACATTTTAATATATTGCACCTTACTAGTCCTAAGACTTCCCAGAAATGCAGTGTACCTATAAATGATAGTGACATTTCAACAATGTTGTCTTCCTTCTAAACTATCTTCTGCAAACTTGCCCCTCATTGTAGATTTTTAAGCTCTCACCAGCAGGATCCTTCTAATCCTTTTGTATTGTAATTGTACTGTCTCCGCACATGTTGTAAAGTGCTGCGCAAACTGTTGACTCTATATAAATCCTGGATAATATTAATTACTACAATTCCCTACAACACCATGTAATAGAGATGCAGAGAGGAGGACTTTTTTGTAGTCCACATCAGGAGAGCAGCTTAAAGTTACAATGTTGCCCCTCCGTCATAATAGTAGAGTGACGGAGAACTGTCACCAGTGTAACTATGTGTAGTTACACATAACTATGTGATAGATAGTTACACATTTAGTAACTATCGGGATCACCAGGTTAAAATAAAAAATGTGTGAAATAAAGTAAACTAATGCAGCCACCACATCTGAGAACTGGTAAGCTGCAATATATTACATTTTCATTCTTTGGTATTGATACAATTTAAGAGTGACTGAGAGAGCCAAATAGTGAGTAATCGTGCCTTGCAGCTCTTAATGCTGGACTTACCTTCCACCAGGGATGTGCTCTGCTCTTTTCTGTTCATGTACAGGGGTTTCTTTCAGACACTCTGGTTTTCTCCCATAACCCAAAAACAAACTGAAATGTAACTGACTGCCTCCCTAAGTTTACCTTAGAGTATGTATGAATATGGTGGGACATTAGAATGTCAGCTTCTTGAGGGGCAGAGACTGGTAGGAATGGTTCTATGGACTATGTAAAGTGCTGTGTAATGTATTGGCTCTCTATACTGTAAATATGGTAAATGATCTAAAGCTGTAAATCACAGGAACATACTGCTTAAAAGGAACATTGCTATGTACAATCACATAATAATTGGCAATAATATTTTTCTGTATATTAAAGGAGTTTGGATCAAACAACGCAGTAAGAAAATGCACAGTTATTTTGGGAATGTCTTAATATTTGGGCAATCCTATTTCCTGTAGAACATTCCTGATGTGGATCCCCAGTGTGAGATTTCCTTTAATTGTATTGCTATAGCAGCAATAATCATTTTTGCGCAGTCTGTCAGCACGCCTGGGATGTATTATACACAGATTTTTGTTTTCTGTATTTCTCTGCATTTCTCAGATTACTTTGTGTAGCTCCTGTCTGCAAGAGATAAAAATTAGACTACTTCTGCTCTGTCGTCCAGAGAGCTTTGTGACCACACAGTTCCGTATTTCCTGTATAAAATATAGAACTGGTTTTTGCATAAAAAAGGAACTTTTTTAAGAGGAAGCACCAACAGTTATCAGTACACTACATATACGGGAAAAGAAAATAAAAAACTTAAAGGAGAACTACGGGGTAAGTGTTTTTCCCCATAGTTCTCCTAAGGTTAACGGGAGGACACAAGCTAGACTTAAAGCGGGGCTGAACCAATCCCAGGATCCAGGTAGCCAAAGCTCCCTAAAAATTACATTTGATGCCCAACTATTAAAGTATAATCTAGTTGTCAGTTGAGTTGGCTTCTGGATTGGGCAGACTGGCTCCAGAATTCCATATTATTTTGTCTACCCCTGTATTGTAAAGTAGCCACAGCTCCAAGCTGGCTCCCATGATAGGCTATAATTTCAACACCAATTAGTAAACAAAACATGACATTATAGTCCATCACGGGAGTGAGCTTGGAGTGGTGGCTACTTTACAACACACTCAGGGGCCAGTGTCAGTATGAATTTAGAGATGATTGGAGGATCTACACCTGAGTGATACACAAATAGGATACATTTTTGTTAATAGTAAGTATATTTGAATACCTTTTAAGATTTAACTCCTGCGTTTAGTGTCACTTTAAGTAAATGGTATATCTAGTGGTATTTCACCATTGGAAATCTGTGTTTTTTTTAGCAACATAGCAACAGATGTAGGCACCATAATTGTCATTTGAGGGTTAATGGCAGTCATACTGAGCTTCTCTGCCACTCAGAAGCTATTGCTATTATATGCAAAGATATTCTGTCATGCTGGAAAAACTCTATGTAATTATTGATTGCCTAATTTTATTAACCGAAAGGAGAACAGACCTTTCACAACATATGGCAAACATTTTTTCAAGTTGACAATAAAGACTGAATGTGCCCTAATTTTGCCCAATTCAAGTGAAAATGGATGATCAATTCACTGCTCATTCTTTGTGAAAAATGGGCAAAGTCAATAGTAAATCTGTTACCTCTTTGAGCTTTGCAGGTCTTGAAGATGCATCTTATCCAGTCGTAGGCAGATAGCCAATATGGATTTTGATTTTTTTTCCTGAACTGTCGATGTTTTGAAGAATGTACCAAAATGTTAGCTGCTAAAGCCTGTTTTCTTTTAGTACTGTTATTCTTCTGAAACCAAAAGAAGCCAAGCAACTTAATGTTCCCTTGTCATGATATCGTTAATCTAATTGCCATTTCATTTTGCAGGGCTGCTTAATATTAAGTGATGAGTTAAACCACACGTCTTTGGTTCTTGGAGCCAGACTGTCAGGAGCTACCATCCGAATTTTCAAGCATAACAGTAAGTATTTTCTTACCTTACTGTTCACTCCTGGGGACCAGAAGAACCAGTCAGGTGCTTGCATTGATTTTCAGCCTCGGGAAATGTCTGCTGGAATTTGAAAGCTATGCCCAAAGGTGGACTTTTGCAATTTATGTGCTCCATTTCACAGAATGCATATTTTTTTAAAATATTAGCTGTATTTTGTTACTTTTATGGCAATTGCAATTACAACAAGTGGAGAAACTAGTAGTCAGTAGGGGTGTCCACTAATACTGGGTAGTAACTCCGTAAACTTGCTTAGTCCCAAAACAAGTGGCTATGGCTAGAAAACAGAAAGGTGCAATATGCACACTGGCTACCTGCAACTTAACAATATATCTGTTATCCTTGTATTTTGGTCATGGGTGTTTAAAAATGGTGCTGGTACAAAGAGTAAGATTCTCAACCAAGGGTATGTGTAATCCAGGACTAGACAAATCCATGAGCCAGGTAGCCAATTTGCCTTAAAAACTACAGCTCCAACTTTTGAGGTTTTCTCTAGTTGATGTCAATGGAGCTGGTCCCTAAAAAAAAATTCTTCTGGCTCCTAGATTGGACATACTGGCTGAATTCCATAGTAATTTGTCCACCCCTGGTGTAACCCAAGTAGTACTTTAACCAGGCTTTGGGTTACTTCCACATGGTAAACCCAGTTACAACTGTCACATTGCACTCCTCACCTGTCTAGGCAATATCCTAGGGAATATCCCCACAACCAACAACACATGGTGCACAGCAGCACTCCCTCCAAGGTGCAAAAAGACTAGATCCAAAAAGCTCAATCCAATCTCAATCTCAATCCATCCAAACTCAATCCAAATCCACGTGCATACTTTACTAGTCACATATTAAGGTAAAAACTGGCATCCATGTTGCATTTTGATCAATCCAGGCCTTAATCATAGCACATATAAATAAGGTCAGGATTGGTTGAAAAACATCAGCCTGGATGTCAGTTTATACCCTGATATGTGACCAATGAACTATTCAAGTGGATTTGGATTGAATGCTGCATTTTTGGATCAGCTGTTTAACACACGCTTACATAAGTCCTTTGAGTCCTGAAAACTGTTGGAGTTTGCTTGTAAAATATTTAATAATAATTCAAAACCAAAAAGGTTATATATTGCAACTTACCAGCCCTATATGTGGTGGATGCATTCGTTTTCTGTCTTTAGGCTTGTTCCTTTATTTTAACTTGGTGATCTGGCTAGACACACTTCCTGTCAACTCTCCCATTTCAAATTCTTGGGCATATCTGCCATGGTCTTGTAGTGCCCAGTCCTCTGAAACTTTGGTTCTCAACTAATGGGTCGTGACCCAAAAGTGGGTCGCGACCCCGTGTTCAGTGGGTCGCTGCATGCCTTCCACTTTTCTAGCTAAGAGGCTTCTCAGCCTCCCCCTAGCGCAGCACTGTCAGTTTTCGCGCCAAGCAGCCATTCATATGATACTCGGCGCCGAGTGTCAGCTTAAGGTGGTGTGGGCTGGAGCTATGGCCGCAAGGGAGCTCCATCTATACATGCATTGCTTACAGCTCCCTTGCATGTCCTGTAGAGGTGCCTGGACCGGAGTGACGTCACAAGCAATGCACACATGGATGGAGCTCCATCACAGCACACGGAACGCGCAGTACCGCAATGCCATTTATTCCATTGCAGTGCGACTTGGGTGGCGTCTTAATGGCCAAGGACAAATGTGGGTCCTGAGGTTACACAGGTTGAGAACCACTGCTCTAAAACATCCCAGACCTGGCCTTAAGTGGCTTTGAACATTCTCTGATGCCTTTTAAGAACCTTTTAATCATGAGTGACTTTAGTGTCAAAGTTTGCTAAGCCATTGGTTTTTCTCAGATCCTTAGTATTTACCATATTTAGTGGAATGTAGAAAAGGTGGAAGAAAAAAAAAACCTTTACGTAAGAGCACTTTGCAATGAAGTCAGCATAAATGTCAAATTTGAAGAATTTTTGCTCAGAAGTAGATATTAACCCGCAGCAACAAAAGATTGCATTAAGCGTTCATCTGATAAATATTAACATCTGCTAAATTCTTCTTAGCATGTAATTTTGTTATAGTGGAGAAGCTCCATAAACAGAAAGGTTTATATAGATTATTTCAAACAGTGAGTTAGGTCATCGGCCTAATAAGTGAGCTATTAAAATGGAGGAATTGATTGGCATTGCTCACAATTCAGGAGAATGTTTACAGGCAGTCCCCGGGTTACAAACCAGATAGGGACTGTAGGTTTGTTCTTAAGTTGAATTTGTATGCAAGTTGGAACAGGTACATTTTTTTTAAGTGTAACTCCAGACCAAATTAATTTTTTACAGTTTTGGATAGCATAGGGAAGGGTTACGTTTGTTTTGCTGTCTATGCCCCTGTTCAGTAGATTTTACTTCACTGTCTGTGCCTATGACCATTGGATTTTGCAAATGTTGGGTTGTCGTGGAAACAAGGATTGGTGATAAAGCTTCAGTGGAGACACCTTTTTCCCATGATGACTCTTACAGCAGTGAATTTCCCTTCCTAGAGGTAGATTTCCTCTCACTTCGTTTTTCAAGGACAGGAAGTGCGATTTAAATCTTTCGAATGAGGATACAGACAGCAGTAGACACCTCACAGTGGCTCTAACCCCACAGCAAACTAACCAAAACTACAAAAGAGTTCTACTTTAAATGCAACTTGGACAGATGTTTTTCTTAACATATTATTTGTAAATGCTTAAAGGAGAACTATGAGGTGAGTGATTTTCACTCATCCTCATAGTTCTAGCCGACCTGTGACAATGAAACTGTCACAGATCGGCTCAGTAGATCGGGAAGTGAGCGAACACATACCGGTTCTCGCTCACGCCTCGATCCTGTCACTGCAGAGAGCCGTGACAGGGGAGGGACTGGATTCCCCCCTCCCTGCCCCGATCCCCCAGCGCTGACTGGCGGAACAGACGGGGGAGGGGGCGGGTACAGCTGGCTCTGCCTCTAGATAGGCAGAGCCAGCTGTCACTCACGCAGCTGGGCGGATCCAGACATAATTGTCGGGATCCGTTTCAGCTGCGGCGTCTCAGTATACCGCGAGCTCTAGGAGAACTATGGGGAAAAGCCCTAACCCCATAGTTCCCCTTTAAACATTTCCAAATACTGTACAGTACAATCTTGGTAGAGGATGATGGACTTGTTGGAGGGGATGGGACTAGTAGTAGAGAGTCAGGGTCTGATTCTGCTTCTGGAGTCAGTTTCTTGAAGTAGGCATCAAGGGAGGTTTGCGCAGAGCTTTTCTTTTTCTTATCATAAATAGTGCTGTAGCATCTCAGGTCTTGGGTAACAGTATGGTAAACGTTTGTGAACCTCTCTGTATCAGGATCTTGCTCCTTTGCCGTTCCTGCTTCAATGAGACCAAAAGCATCAGCTAACTCTTTTGTAGAAAACGTTTTCAGTTTTGGCGTTTCTTGGTCCTGGTTTTCTTCCCCAAATTCTATCATCTGCTGCTCTAGTGCCATAAGATCTTCATTGGTTAGTTCTTTGCCATGAGAGTCGAGTAACTCTATGATATCATTTTAACTGATGTCCAACTGCAGTTGATTACCAATAGCAACCTCAGCTTGCCTGGTTTCAGTCATCATCTGTAAACCCCAGAAATTCTTATATGAATTGTGGGCACAATTTGTTCTAAACTCCCCTTATATTTTGTCTTTCACGTCATCCCAAGCATCAGCAATATTTTTGATGGCATCATAACTGTTATATTTTTTCCAGAAATCCCTTAAGGTCATCTCATCCTTTTTCAGTAGCCCTGACAGCTTGTGAGAATGTCCTCTGTAAATAATAGGCCTTAAAGGAGGCTATGACTCCCTGATCCATTGGCTGAAGTAGTGATGTGGTGTGGTGGGGGGGTAGAAATACCACCTTTACAAGTGTTTGGATGTCCAGGGGCATTGTCAAGGAGAAGGAGAATTTTAAAAGGAATGTTTTTTTGCCCAAGCAATAACGTTCAACAGCAGGAACAAAATGGTTCAAAAACCATACTTGAAAGACCGCAACTGTAACCCAAGCAATTGAGTTTACTCTCCAAATAACAGGAAGAAATGCCTTAGTGACATTACGTAGTGCCCTTGGATTCAAGGAGCGTTGCACTAGCATAGGCTTGAGCTTTAAATCCCCAGACGCATTACCCCCAAGTAATAAAATCAGCCTGCCCTTTGATGCCTTATGTCCTGGTGCTCTCTTTTCCTCTTTGGAAATGTAGATCCTCTCCGGCATTTTTTCCCAAAACAAGCCAGTTTCGCCCACATTAAAGATTTGGTCTGGCAAATAACCTCCATCGTCAATATCTTCCAATATCTTGGGAAAATCACTTGCAGCACTTACATTGGCACTCCCTGCTTCACCTTGAACTTTAGTATCATGCAAATTTGCTCTTTTTTTAAGCGTTTGAACCAACCCCTACTTGCAATAAATTCTTCATTGTAATCGCCTTCACTTGCTGTTTGAGCAGCTTTTAAATCATTGAAGACGCTTCAAGCCTTTTTTTGCACTAAAGACAACGAAAAAGAAAAAAGCACAGCGCTCTCTTAGGGATGTGGGGTGTGTGTGGGTGCAGTCAATTTGGATTGCTGCTCTAGGAACAGGGGGAGCAACCTGTGGACATGGAAATGGAGCAATAAGAGTGCAAATCCTGAAGGTGTGAATGGTGTGGGGACCATGGTGAATGGTGTGGTCACTCTCACTTTTCTTTTCGAGCTTGAGAAAGAGGATCCCCTCGAAACGCGTTGGTCCCTCATCACTGCCCCGTGCACGTCCTTCTCCAGCCCTCTGCCACCTTCACTTCACCACTTCCCAAAACACCGCGGCTAAGATCAGAGGCAGCCGCTCCCCCGGCACACACAACCCTCCGTTCACATCTGGTCTTCACTTCATTCTTCTATCCCTGGGTTCATTAACACACCTGATGACTTCCATTCCAGCCGTCATGGCCAAACCCTAGGA